GTATAAGGCAATATAGCGTCGGCGCTAGCACAAAAGCTAACAGGCTGAGTCATTTCTACCTTCTCCTCTCTGTCAACGCTCTCTGGTTTCATTTAAAAGAGTCGATCATCAGATATTGTCCAAGATTAACCTTCAGGGTGGATATAGCTCGCTCACACCGAGGACCTATCCACATCATCATTTACCCAGAATGATTTGCATGTAAATAAAATGGCTCCGTCTGTCTAAAATATTTTTAAACTTTTAGTTTAAAAATGAAAAATGAACATCCTACAGTATTTTTACAGTCTTTTTTTTAACAGTTAAAATAATAAAGTCTAATGTTACAACTAATCAGGGATCCCTTTAAGAGTAATTCTAAGACATTTGATAAATGTGGGCCCTGGCCTCCAACCTTTGCCACTTCCAATTCTGTCTCCTAACTTCTGATAACAATTTAGCAAATGCCTGATCTTTTCAAAAACAAACATAAAAAAACGTGCAGAAGTTTGCATCTAGCTGATGTAGTCTTTTGAATGTCTTGTAAACATCCAGGATGGTCCCCTGTTTGTGTCGCGGTTCTCCAAGGAGTGTTACACTGCGGGATGCTGGTCTCTGTCCCGACCTGCCGTCTTCTTCCTTGGGAAAGAACGTGGCACCATCGAGGTGTGGAACCTGCTGGAAAACAGCAGCGAACCGTCACAGGTTCACACCACCATCAACAGCAGAATTATCTGCATCAAACCCTGGATCGTCTCCTGTAGGTTCTTCACTTATTCAATTAGAAATATTTATGTTTGTTTGGTACGAGGCCAAGCAGCACACTTATGTTGTTTTGTCTACCTCCAGCCAGGGATCACTTCTTGGCTGTGGCACAAGAGCACGGAGTTCTCCAAGTGGTTGAAATATTGAAGAGGCTCTGCGTTCCTTTCAGGAATGAGGTAGGTCAGCCCAGGAATTAGCTAACTCCAGCTTTTCAACATGTTAGCATCATTTAAAAGTCAGGTTTGGTACTGATCTTCATTCAACCTGTCATGGAGTTGTTACTTTATTGACTACGAGGGAATATTTCAAACATCACACATCTAACTGGTGCCGCTTCTTCTTTGTTCACGTCAAGGGTTTGCGCATGAAGGAATACTTTGAGCGGAAGACACAAGTCTTAAAGGATTTTCTGAAGAGGCAGGAATCCTGGGTGAAACAAAAAAAGGAGGAAGAAATCAAGAAGAAATCTGTGAGTTCCTGGGGTTCACTGAGAGGGGGTCCTGAAAACAGAGGGGGCTGTGTTGGACAGGATTTGTAACAGTTTTACTCTGCCAATATAATTAAGGTCAGTGGTAAGTGGTCTCATTATTTGAGCCTGAACATTTTGAGAAGCGGCTCTCTGCAGTCACTAGGAGTTTCTTATTTTTAAAACGATGCGTCTACATACACAACATTTTTAAACAAGCTACGAAATTTATTGTTAGATTTTGCATCCATAAAATTCAGTTTTAAAACATTCATCTGCCATATTAAATTAGTATTTGTGGCTCAAAGACTGAAAAATAAGGAGTGTTTTGGTACAAAGTGTTTCAATGTGCTCTATCTTCAGTGACTTGTGTAACCCTGACCAAATTTTAATGATTTGATGATTTCTTTGATTTTGTTTTTAGTTACCTGACAGACCGGTCAAGACCCCAACAGAGAAAGAAGACTTGGAACTGAAGGAGTACAAAGATTTCCTCGGGCTGGAGGAAAGCATCCTGAAAAGCTTGGACGTGTAGACAGGAGTGGTAAAATTGTGATTGTTAATAAACGGTCGAGAAATTTGTACTTCTGACTTATTCTTCAAAAAAAGATTCACTTCTGCAAGACACATGTAGACAGTATGATGGTGCGTTCAAGTAAAACCTGTACATTCACATTTATTAACTACTGTAGGTATAAACAGAGAACATGGAAGTTTTAATGCCCAATTTAGTCTAACATTTACAAGTTTCTATAACCACTAAGTTGAAACAGAAATTATACGTTTATTCAAAAATTAGATCCAATCTGACATCTTCTGTTTCAAAT